AGGCATCATATCGCTTTCCTTTGAAGACTCGCTAGGTTGCCCAGCTGGAAATGTTTTCACCTGCCGCTTTTCTATAGCCACTCGAGTCCGATGTGCAGCCAGGTAAGAGCGTGGATGAATCGGGTAAAGGCCCATTAAACCGAGGAGTTCTGCCACTTTCATCGATGGCTCAGCACCTTTACCTAACCAGTGAATCAAACGATCTACATTAAGCCCAATTAATTGTTCGCCATAGTCCCGGTTTGGATATGGATCCCATGAGCCAAGCTGCTCTACGCCATGCGTCTTGCACTCAGCCAAATTTGATTTCACCTAGAGAAGGTGATAAAACATGTTTATTTCAGCAATGAAGCAATAGGTCAGATGACTAGGCCAATTTAGCTGGTTAGCAGGTAGTATTTGTAAAGCCTTCAATAGAAGGTTGGCCTAACAGTTATTCGCTTAGTTGACGTGTCACCAACAAAATGAATCGCTTACAAGAGAAAATGTAAATAGCTGATCTCAAAGCAATATACAATTGGTTTTGAAGTCAATTCAATAAAAAAGGAATAGATAATTAAGGGCTAATTATGCATTAAACTTCAAGAGGCATAGCACTCATCTTACATCTGATTCGGATTACAATAATATGAACGAATATAAAAGAATTTAGCAATTTGTGATAGCATGTCACGTAGGGACGGCTAGACTGAGAATTTGAATCATTAATTAATTTACCTGGATGGTGAAAAAGATCCTATTTCTACAGCCTTCCCTGACAAGAACAATTCTCCACCGATGCCTCGCTCTGACAGGATACATGCGCAGCACCTTGCGGCCGGATCTCGGAAGATGCATCCACCAGGTACTGGGCTTCGACGGACCAGGTTCTATGTGTTCTTGAGAACCAAACATTGATTTAGAGGAATCTGTATGATACTCAGCTCCTGTTTGATAGAAGCGAGATGTAAATCTGGATAGAGAAGGCAGGAGCTGACATCGAGCAGACCAGATTACGGGAGGCCATAGCATCATCAATTTTGAGATAACATTAACAACTG